AACTCCTGCCTCCCCACCCTCACATTCCCCTACACTTGGGCATCTAGCCTTCACAGGACTAAGGGCCTCTCCTGCCATTGATGTCCAACAAGGCCATTCTCTGCTACATATGCAGCTGGAGCCATGGGTCCCTAACAGCAGATGCTGGTAAAGATGTGGAGAAGGAGGAACACTCCTCCATTGTTGGTGGGATTTCAAGCTGGTACAACCACTCTGGAAATTAGTTTGGCGGTTCCTCAGAAAATTGGACATAGTATTACCTGAGGACCCAGCTATACCACTCCTGGACATATACCCAAAAGATTCTCCGACATATAACAAGGACACATGCTCCACTATGTTCATAGCAGCCTCATATATACTAGCCAGAAGCTGGAAAGAACCCAGATGTTATTCAACAGAGAAATGTATACAGAAAAGGTGGTACATTTACACAATGTAGTACTACTATTCAGCTATTAAAAACAGTGAATTCATGAAATTCTTAGGCAGATGGATGGAACTAGAAAATATCATCTTGAGTGAGGTAGCCCAATCACAAAAGAACACACATGGTATGCACTCACTGATAAGTGGATATTAGCCCAAAAGCTCGGAATACCCAAGATACAATTCACAGACTACATGAAGCTCAAGAAGAAGGAAGACCAAAATGTGGATGCTTCAGTACTTCTTAGAAAGGGGAACAAAATACCCATGGAAGGAAAATACCAATACAAAGTGTGGAACAGAGCTTGAAGGAAAGGCCATCCAAAGACTGCCCCATCTAGGGATCATCCCGTATACAGTCATCAAACCCAGACACTATTATATATGCCAAGAAGTGCATATTGACAGGAGCCTGATATAGCTGTCTCCTGAGAGGCTCTGCCAGAGCCTGACAAATACAAGGTGGATGTGTGCAGCTAACCATTGGACTGAGCACGTGGTCCTCCATGGAGTCCCTAATGGAGGAGTTAGAGAAAAAACTGAAGGAGCTGAAGGGATTTGTAACCTCATAGGAAGAACAAAAATGTCAACCAACCAGATTGCCCGAGCTCTCAGGGACTAAACCACCAACCAAGGTTCTGTATTTTTAACCATCAAACCTCAAGCTGACCTACATCCACACTGCTAAGGATGCTCTGTCACTGATAGAAAGGTAGGCATTGACTGTTTGTGGTGTTAAGAGAGCTCATAAAGAAGGTTGATTTCCTGACAATATATTGCTTCATATACTTAAGTTGGTTATGGCTCATGACCTTGGTCCCTTCAGAAGGGTCTTTATTTCGAAAAAGTTTAAATTACACAAATGAAGAGTAGCAATATCATACTTCAGAACAGTTATATTGAAATTTTTAAAAGGTGGAAATTTTGGATATGCTTAGTAAGAGGACTTGGAAGGTACAAAATGCTATAGAATAAAAACAAAAAGCCTCCCTCATCAGAAGTGGATGCTTACACATAAACTTTTAAACTTCAGCGAAGCACAGGAGATCTGGAGCATGTTATTTTTTCTAAAACATAAATGGATACAATTGAGATAAATAACAGTGTGTCTATACTAATGTTTGCACATAGGGATTTGTTTTTTAAAATATGTAAGAGAGATGTCCAAATAGTCCATACCTGGCTTATTTCTCAAGTTTATGCAGAATTACTCCATACACACTTCTCGGTGGCTTATAGCACAATAAACATAATTGACTAGGACATTCTTCTCTTCTGTGCACTTACTTTTTCAATATTTTTCCTTTGACTTCATAACACTGTGATGAACATTGTCATCTACCTATTTTGGTGTACCTATATAAGTTTGCCCAAATTCTTCTAGGCATGTAGAGTTACCTGGTCAGTGGACAAATGTGCTATAACTTTATTAGACATTATCAAATTACCTCTTAAAATACCCCAATTTCTATCCCACCCAAGAGTGTGTGGGACTTGTTTTACCACAAGGTTATAGTACTTTAGTTTTAAGTCAAACAATTTATCCAGGTCTCAAAATGGAACAATGCCTTAATATTTCTCTGGTACACACTCCATCAATACCATCATATCCTAATTTAAAATATCTCACTCTCCTAAGTAAAAGTCACAGAAGTAGGGCTGTCTGATGCATTCCTACAACCCATTCTAACATAGTGTGATTCTGTGAAAGAAAGTGCTGATAACCTATTAATAAGAAGACTTCCTTAGTAATGAAGTTCCATATATCATAACAGCAGAATTGAAGTTATTCAAATTGCTTTGGTTTGAAGTTGATAAATGAAGAAGCATAGAAGTTCATTTCTTTCCTTGGAAATCACAGCCTTAAAATTTGTTTTCTTACATTTTGTGTATGTGTGTGCGCAGGTGCCTGTGTGGCTCTAAGGACAACTTATAGGAGTTTATTGTTCTCATCCAGCATGTGTGCAGGTCTCAGGACCTGAACTCAGATAGTCAGGCTTGAAAATAAGCACTTTTACCCATGGAGCCATCTGTCTGACCTGCAAATCACAACTTTGAGAAGGTTAATTTGGGAGCCAAGGTTTGCAGCCTAGTGGTAGAGCATGCATTTAGCACTTACATGACCTTGGGTAAAATCCTCAGCTATGAAGGAAGGAAAAAGTAAGATGTTGACTAAGTTTCTCCATCTTGTAAAAAGAAAATATTCTCAATTAAAACTGCACTGGATATAGTTATTTGTCAGAAGTTATCACTAGGGGAACTGTATCTGCAGCAGAGCTCCTCTGTAGCTCTCTCTGACGTGGCGTGAGACCAGTGTCGTTGATTCTAATTCCCCTCCACCTTTGTAATTAGTTACACCTTGATATCAAAATGGACTCTTATTTTATTTGAATATGGGGAAAATGAGCAGACATAAACTCCATTAATATATAGAAAAAGCACCTGTGTTTCATGAAAGTGTTATAAATGATTGTGAACAGAATTATGTTACATAACAGAATCAGATAGTTGTGGGAGGGCCTTTTAGGTCTTTGTTTGGTGTGTTCATCCAACATTTTTTCAATAGTTTAGCCCATCCACTTCCTTCCTATCCTACATCCTCCCTCCTAAGCCTTAGACACATGAAGAAAGCCTGGAATTCTCCCCACAATACAGCTGAAAATAGCTTCTGTATTTTTAAGGAATAGATTTTGGAGATGAGAGACTCTGTCACCTGAGTCGTCGTCCAAATAATTCTCTAATTCACTCACATGGGATGGCTGAACTGTTTCATAAGCAATTAAATGTGAAGTGCCTCGCACACATCTGTTAGATTTTCTTGCCCATAGTATGAAGTCAGAGTGTATAATAGATTCAGATGTGAAATGTTATCTGGTGAGTAGTGCTGTGCTTTTATTTATTGCCTACTCTTAGCTTGTTTCAGAGAGCACCGAAGCCTGTAAGCTTACAAGTCGCCTGGAGTAAAACTGGACCATTTGTTAGGGATGCAGCAAGACTGCCTTTCTCATGCCTTTTAATGTGTTGTAGAATGTGCCTGAGTGCCTGCTGACTGGGGTGCAGTTATAGGAACAGGAAGACTGAGCCAGAAGTAAGAGGCCTGTCTTTGCATTTCTGTTCTTGGCAATCAACACTGGGTTTGTGACACTGCTGAAGGGTCTTCTTGATTCCAGAATGTGAATGCCATGAGTTGTCTAAGCTTTTCATAATACTAAAACACAAGGCTGACCCATCCCAGGTGCTCCTGTTAGCAATGAAAATGTTTGGAGGTGTCTAGCCAACTTGTGGTTACAAACCAAAATGTTACCCTAAGGAACTAAAAATACTCCCCTTGGTTAGTAATTCCTCCTGCTCTGTGTAGCATATGATTATATACAGCACAGGTAAAGACTAAACACTGGAAAACATGTGTACTGGAAAAGATTAGCTGCCAATTTTCTGGTGTATCTGATTTAATGTTTTGCCCCATAGCTAGTAATTAATATGAAAGCAATAGCAAAAGTATAATTATGTTTCACAAATGTTTGGATGTTGTCTTGCATTTTTTATTAAGAAACTAAATACAGTGTTTTGTATTTTAAATTTCCAGTGAAGATAAAAGTCCTTGATTAGCAATTAATAATGATTTGAGATTAGCAGTATAAATAAGTATAATTATAAAAGTATTAATTGCTACTCCTGCCTGTGGGCATTTACAAATGTTAATGCTTATCTTGCAGGTATAAAATCTATAAAAATATAACCTCAAAACTCACATGCATCACAAATATGTCTTTAGAAATGCACACATTGGGGCTGGAGAAATGGCTCAGCCATTAAGGGCTAGGCTTACAACCAACAATATAAGGGAAATGGACACTTGAAGTCATATCCAGCAGTAACTTCTATTGTAGTTATTAAGCAAGACTATAGGAGCACCTGGAATAGGTAAGCCTTGTGTTTTAGTATTATGAAAAATTTAGACAACTCATGACATTTACATTCTGGAATCTAGAAGACCCTTCAGCAGAGGGACACACATATTTCCAAGGCAAGAAAGATAGGGAATAAATGATCCACTGTTTTCTACTCCTGAGCCTGAGATCTTGCTAGCACCCAAGGCTAAGTAATCCACATGGCTGTAGGCTGTGAAAGACAGCCATCTGGAGAAAGCCTAGAGTGAACTGCAGGGGTAAATGAGCAGGAGCCAACACAAACACTACACTTGGGAAAGAGGCGCTAGATCCATAGTTCACTATGCTCCGCTCATGAGTTCACATATAGGA